GGTATTTACATGTGGTGCCTGCAGGCATGAAACAGCACCTGGTATCCGCCGAGGGCAATGAGGAGTTTCTTCTCCATCTTGGCCGCCTTCTTGAAGTCCTTGGTCATGAAACCAACAAGCCGCTTGTGCTCCAGCTCCCGCGTGTCCACGAGATCCTGCAGTGGCAGCAACGAGTTGGGATCAGAAAAGTAAACAATTTGTTTTGTTTGGGGGGGGGGCAGATACAACAACAAGAACCAAGCAAGGAAAGATGCAAGGATCAGGCGGGCGCACGAAGGCACACCCACAAACCAAGGTACAAAAACCTTCAAAACACACACACACACACACATTCAGCACACCTGTTTCGAGCAGAGGGAGGTGCGACCGTAGCGCTTCTTGCCGGCGACAAACGTGACGTCCTCGTGCATGCGCTGCCACGACTGCATGTACTCGTCCGCAATGCTCTCGTCCGTGGCCGCGTCGCCGTGCTTCTCCTTGCGGACGGCGGCAATCTCCTCATCCAGGGCAGCGCGCGCAGCAGCCATCTCCTCATCCGTCGGCTTTTCCAGTTGCTGGTAGCATCGCAGAGGCGGGAGGCGCGTGAGGGTGCGATGACACGAGCGGCACGAAACACACACGCAGGCAGGTAGGGAGGAGAGCCCGCCTCAACGCGCGCACACACACACACACCCTCACACACACACTCACACACTCACTCACACACCCTCACACACACACACACACACACACACACACCTACAAACACACACACACACACACACTCACACTCACGAGATGATCGCAAATTAGGTAACCGCATTCCCATTTCCCAGCAATCAACCCGCAAGCTGCACCCCCCATAACCGTGTGTGTACTGCTAGATGTTTCGATCGCCGGATCGGAAGATCGTATATGGCGCACGAAGAGCCAAGTTAACTAGGCACCTAAAGTCTTCAGCATAACTCATTATCATAAAGCATGTTGCTAGATCCGATGTTCTTATGCGTTGATTGAGGGAATACCAATATTCTCGAGGTGTGGGCTCCCGATCTACTATGTGGGGTATGAAACGATGGACAAGATACAACTATGCTCTGCTCTCTCGACATAACGGTTATACACACACACCCTCAAACACACACACACACACACACTCACACTCACTCACACACCTCAACACACACACACACACTCACACTCACTCACACACCCTCAAACACACACACACACACACACACAGAGCAAGCAGTCACAGGCGCAAACGGCAGACCTTGATGAGGCTCTTGTCCTGCTTGAGCAAGTTGAGCATCTCCTGCTTGATCTGCTCGTCTGCGGCCTGCAGGTCGTCCAGCTTCTGCCGCGCCGTAAACACATCCTCGTTCACACTGCTCGGCAGCGCAAGGCCACGCTGCAGCGCCTGTCATCAACCAAAGATGGCAGGCATGACGGGCGCAGTGTGGGAGTCAGCAGGCATGGAGCGATGTAGGAGCAGTGGGTGCAGTAACCGCGGTGGAAGCGGAACGGAAGATGCGACCTTTGTTTCAGTCACGAGCAAAGCCGCGTGATGGGGCACGATAAGGCATTGAAAACGCACCTGCGATTGGCGCTTGAATTCCTTCTCCGCGATCAGGCGCTTGCGCTCTTCCTCCTCCTCATCCACCTCCGCAGCGTCTTTCTCAATGTCTGGGGGTGTGGGGGATGGGGAGATTGGGTGCAGACAAAGCAGATGTTGGTCAAGACGAGGCACAGAGGAGGCACGTCGAAACACAACAGCGCACACGAGCAGGAACACACACACACACACACACACACACACACACACACACACACACACACACACACACACACACACACACACACAACCATCATTGCAATATGTGACACAAGCATGTTCAACGCACCCATGTCGGTGCGCTCCTCCTCGTCCTCAATCTCAGGCACAACAATTTCGTAGTCGCGCTTTGGCTGCGGCAGCGACGCAAGGCCGTCACGCAGGCTCGCTCTGTCGCGGCCATGAACACGACGGTTGGGGGTAAGGTGAAGTGAAGGGTGGTGCACAACATGTGCTTGAAAAGGAGGGCAGAGGTGTGGAAGCCGGACACATGTTACGCAATGATACCAACCACAGCAAGGCAACAACGACAGACACAGCGAGCACAACAGGGCCATCCACGATGACAACAAGACTGTGTGTGTGTGTGTGTGTGCGCGTGTGTGTGCGTGTGTGCGTGTGTGTGTGTGTGCGTGTCTGACTTGATGTCGCGCTGGCGCTCGCGGTCCTCCTTGGTGGAGGGCGTGAGGAGGCGTGAGTCCTTCTCCCGGTTGATGCCCAACTTGTCGCGCAGCGGTGTGGACGCCTCGTCCTGCAGGCAGTGGCGATAAGAGAGCGGTGGTAATGGTGTTGGTGATGGTGTTGGTGTGAGCACAGGGTTTGGTTGAAGCCACCTGCAACCATGCACGTCAGCACGCATGCATCCCGCACACATGACACACATGACACACACATGCACATGCACACGCCAAACAAGCACTCGCAACACACACACACACATACACACATACATGCACACGCGTACCGGTGTTGCAGGTGTGGCTGCCGGGGTCTGGTGGCGGGACGGCGTGTGCTGCACGGTTGCACCGCGGTATGGGGTGGAGAGGACGCGGTTTGGCGTTGCCGTCTGCGCGCGCTGTGGCGTGACACCTGAGAAGGAGCCGCCGCCATCGTGCAGTGGCGTGTTCTCACCGCCCTCCAGCACGCTGCCCGTCTGCTGCAGCGCAATGATGTTCTTTGCCTCCTTGAGCAAGTTGTCCTCCCCTTGCGGCGCCTTTGGGGTGCGCGCGGCCTGGCTAATGCTCGGCGTCTCGCGGTAGTCCTGCAGCAGTGCCCCCGTCGGACCAGACTCGTCCATCGTCGCCAGCGCGTCCACGCCAGTCTGCCCGAGCTTAACGAGCTCCTCAAGCTCCTCGTCGGAGACCTGCGGTGCCGGCAGGACAAGCTTCGAGCGCTTGCGCTGCGGCTGGTGTGGTGTTGGAGAAGAGGGATGTGCAAACGATCGAAGAGGGAGGGAAAGCATCAATCATGGCTTTGCGTTCATTGCATGGCAAAAATCAAAACAAATGTGCACCTTGAACACATTGAGTCCAATCATGAGCAACAAGTGTATGCCTCGGCATCAGAGCAAAACAGCGAGCAGGCCAGGATGAATGAAGGATCAGGTGGCAGTTACCTCATCGCCCTTGATCTGGTTGAGCTTCATGAGGGCGGCAGGCAGGTTCTTCTTCTTGAGTTCCTCCAATTTCTTCTCGTCCTCTCGTCGCGCCTTCTCCTCCATCGCTTGCTTCGACATGCCCTCAACCTGAAGGCATCGGGGGACCACGTGAGCTTGGAGGTCAGGCATCATGCTTGACACTGATGCTTTGGGAACTGGCGATTGCCTCACTCGCGCCAACACACTGACTGCACAGATATTCGGAGACGCACACACACACATACCCACACACACACACACACACACACACACACACACAACCAACACACGTACAACACACAACACGTAGACACGCACCCACGCACCCACACACACACACACACACACACACACACACACACACCAACACACGTGCAACACACAACACGTAGACACGCACCCACACACACACACACACACACACACACACACACACACACACACACACACACACACACACACACACACACACACACACACAACACGCAGATACGCACGTCCTTGCGGCGGCGGAGGCGGAGGTTGTCAAGTTTGATGGCGTCGTCCTCGCTTGGGTCGTGAAAGCCCTTTGGCGCCAGTTTCTGGAAGGGGATCTCTGCGTTGTAGTCGAGCATCTTGCTGCGCCGCTTGCGCTGCTTCAGTTCGATACCGGCCGCACGCATTTCGCGCCGCTTCTGCAGCCGCGCCAGCCGCTTGGCCTCAATCAGCTGCCGCTCGCGGGCCTTGCGCTTGGCCTTCTTACCCTGCGTGTTGGCGAGACGCGCACGCGCCTCAGACAGCATCTCCTTCTCGTCCTCGTCCATATCGATGGGGTCGGGCCGGGCCGGGCGCGTGTGGGCCATCGGATCAATCTCGCCGGGCCGCAGGCGGCGCGGGTCGTCCTGGCCGATGGGCTCGCTGCCCTGCGCCTGGTCCAGCAGCTTCTCGTAGTGCTCGAGGCACTGGGAGGCGGTGCGGCCGATCATGGGCGCAAATGTCATCCACTGTGTGGGCATGAGCTTTGCCAGGTGCAGCAGTTTTTCTTCCTCTTCCCTGCTCCACTCCGTCTTCTTGATGCTTGGGTCCAGCCACTCGTACCAGCGGCGCTTGCACTGGGCCGCAGACTTGCGGTGCAGCAGCGAAGCCACACGGTCCCACTGAGACAACACGTGGCGGTGTGGGCGAGAGCGTGTGTATGTGCGTGCGTATGTACAAGTGAGCGGGTGATTGCACGAATGAATTGGAACACGTTTCTGGGGAAGGGGAGCAAACAAAGCTTTATGATGTGCTGGGTGAAAAACGCACACATCAACAACAATGCGAAGCACAGACACGCATCCACCGACACATCCACAGACACACAGGCAGACAGACACACATCCACAAACACACACATCCACAGACACACATCCACACAGACACACACACACAGACACACATCCACATACACATCCATACACACACAATATCAATCAATCACGGGAACATCCATCGGCGTACCTGGTTTGGACCATACTTCATGACGGCGGCCTTGAGGATCTCATCCTCGGTGTTCTTCCAAACACCGCCTTTGATGAAGATGCGCGCGCTCATGTTGCGTCTTCTTCCTCACACTCACTCACACAGACACAAGTAACGAATCCCGTACACGCACACTCACAAACAACCAATGCGTCGTCCACTGTTGTGTGCGCACGTTCACAAGCAACAAGCAAGCAAGCAAGCAAGCCAAGTTGAGCGGTGCTGTGTCTGGTGGCTGCTGCCTTCGTTCGTGTGGTGTGGAGAAATAGC